CCCGTCTTACACATGCGGAAACGGAGGCTTGAGGAACCTGCAGTGATGCGCCCAAGGTCACCTGCTATTGGACGACAGCCCCGGAATTAGAACCCAGGTCTGGTCGATGCCAAAGTCCTTGCTTCCAGCCCCCGGGGCTCCCCTGGCTTCTCTGAGTGGCCGTTTCTGCAGAATATGAGTCCAAAGCCCCACTCCTCACAACCGCCCAGTGCTGCCTCGCGCACGGGGTTGCCTGATGAATACCGTTTACTTTCCTGCTCTGAGTTATTAACTAGAAAAATCAGATTCATCTTCTGGGCCGCGTGAGAATCCCAATCAGAGGAGCCCTAACTGGTTCCCCCGAGAAGGCTGGCTGCGTGCACCACCGCCAGCTCCCCGAGCGCTGTGCCCGGGCTCACGCACTCAGACCAGAGAGGGAACTTCGCTTCACCGCCCGGTGAGCAAGGAAAAAAGGAAGTGCTGGACTTAGTGTTCGTTGGATCGGACGCGGAGGAGACCCCGGCCCCACACCGCTTCTTTGCTGGACGGCCTCACCCCCGCAGCCGGCGATCAGAGCGTTCCGCCAGTGGCATTTCGTCCGAGATTTCGTGAGAAGCCGGGAGAGGGGAGTTGGGGCATTGGGCGGACCTGGGTTTGCCTCCGAGTGACACCTCTGATGGTGCGTGACCCCTGACCCTCCGAGCCCCCCTTTTTGTTGCCGCTAGATGGCAAGATCCAGGAGGGAAATGGTATCCCAGGTACCACCCACAGCAACCCACTTCCTGGGGAGATACATTCTGATGGTGAATCGCCAAGGACCCCACTAGGAGAGTTTTCCTGGGCCCCCGAAAACTCAAAATTCTATCCAGCGGGGCTAAGGAATCCCTCCTTCCTGTGCACCCCAGAAAGCACAAGCCTCTGTCAGAGGTGCGAGTGGAAGGTGGAAGTGAGAGAGGACGGAGCAAGAACCTCTGGAAGACTTCCTGGAGGAGGTGACAGAAGAGGCCAGGTCTTTAAGGAAGAGTGAGCACTCACCAGGTGTGGAAGGGAGGAAGGGCATTCCAGGCAGTGGAACAGCGTGTGCAAAGGCACAGAATCAGGGTGGGCCTGGTCCTTTCCAAAGCAGGAGGAATTAAACGCCACCAGAGCTGTGTTTCTCAGAGTGTTGCTCTGGGACACCGAAGGGCACACAGCAGGCAGGAGCTGAGGCTCAAGACCGAGACAGAACCAGGTCACGGAGAGCCTTGAATGCCACGCCAAGCTCTATACTGAGAGACACCCAAGGCACAGTGGTCGGAGCAGCCCCCCGGCACCGAGCCCGGCGCGGGGGTTTCACACGCATCTACCTGCGCGTCCAGCACATCTAACCCGCTCAGCTGTGGCGGCCCTCGAGGGCCAACCGGCCGGCGCGGCCTCTGAGAGCCACGGCACGGAGTAGGCACTGAGTCGGCCGGGGCCCCACGTTAGGGCCCCGTTTGCTGGGTGATGCCTGTCGGTAAATGTCAGAAGCCTCCCCGGGGCGGGGGGGGGCAGAAAGTTCTCCAGAAAAATGCCTTTTCGAAGGCCACTAGGGCCCGGATGAGAAGACGTGAGAGGAAGCCGCGCGGCGTGTGCGCCTGCAGCCCGCGGTCAGCCCCTGCGGCGGGGGGAGGGGCGCCGAGGCCGGCTGCGCTGAATGTCGTGCCTTCCTCTCCCTCTCCCTGCCTCCCCCCTCCACACACAGAACAGACAGTCACTGAATCTGCACCGACAGTTGGACAGGATCGAATGAATGTACATTGTGTTGGTTTTTTCCAACTTTTCGTGTGTATGTTTGAAAATGTTCTCTATACAATGTTGGGAAGGAGACAGGCCCGTTTGCTCCTACCCAGTTAGACGTCCTGCCCAGACCTGCCGCGTCTCAGGTGCGCACCCTCCAGCTTCCAAGGAGGCTGCACCCACGCACCCACGCACCCACGCACGTGCACACTCCTGTTGCGTAGCCGACAGGAAATACTGCATGGACGGATGTCCAGATAGATGGACGGACGGACGGATGGACAGGTAGATGGGGCGTGGAGAGGGGTGGCCGAGATCCAGGCCCCGCCCGAGGGCCGACCCAGAGCCGTATTAACAAGGCGAGGCAGCGGGTGCGGAGGGGATGACCTGGTACACAGAGCAGCAGGGGGCGGAGCTCCGGCCTCCAGGCATCCAGGGGGCGGAGGCACTGGAGCTGGGCCTTGAAGGGAGAGGAGGGAAGTGAACAGGGCGCTGCCGGTGAAGGAGAGGGTGAGGGCAGGAGCGAGAAGTGCTGTGTTCGGGGCGGGGCCGGCTGCCGGGACGGCGAAGTCAGGACACAGACCCAGCTGGGGCACGTGCTGGAGTCCGGCCCAAGCGCAGGCCCCCCTGCGGCGGCGTGAGCTGGCCCTGGATGCAGGCTCCCCGGCCGCTGCCAAGGGCGCACTGCCTGCCACGGGGCCTCCCTGAGCCTCACTCCCCTCCGCTGCTACCCGGAGCAGCGACTTCCCTGTGGCGAGGGCGAAATGACGTTTTACCTAACGCGCGTGACATCGCCTTGCCCCAGACCGCCCTCCCGGACAGCTGTGCCGTGATTTGCCGAACCATCCTCCTGCTGACGGACACCCAAGTGTCCATCCCATGTCCTTCTTCTTCCACCTTTGCCCAGCAGGGGTCACATGGCCGCAGCCTACTGTCCCAGGAGGACGAGTGGGGTCTGAGTGACCTGGCAGGGCGTCCACTGTATGATGGTAATTTGTAAAGAGGTTAAGGAAAGTCGCTGAGTACCGTGTACAGTGTGTATGCAACAGTGTCCGGGGTGTGCCTGTGTCCACGCAGAGGCACAGAGAGACAAGGGACCCATCACACCCCACAGTCGGCAACAGACACCTCCCGGGCGTGAGGGCTTGGGTGTGTGACACCCAAATAGTTGGCCCCTCCTGTATACGTCGGGACACTTGGTTTGCTGCAATAAGCATGTCATTGCTTTGCAAGTTTGAAAGGAAAGTCAGGGAGGGGTTTTTTACGTTGGCTGTGATGGTGACAAGGATGACGATGGTCGTCAAGGGGCCACGGCCCCCTGCAGCAGTCATTCTATCCCCAGGGTTTGGGGTGGGCTGTGATCCATGCAAACGGTCACCAGAAACTTCTGGTACTGAGCTGCAGAGCAGAAACACAGCAGATGTGGTGCTCGTGGGAAAATGGAACCACTGCTATTTCGGTCGCTGCTGTGCCCCCAGCACCTGCAACCAGCATTTGGCACATCCGAGGTTCTGAGAAGCGTTTGAATAGAACAGAGGGAGGGAGAGAAAGAAGGAAGGAAGGAGGAAGTGGGGGGGGAGGAAGAGGGAGGGATGAATTTCTAATTATATATGACACCAGTTCATTCCATTTGGAAAACCCCCAAACATTAACTAAAACGGCGGGCCAATGCCAAAATACCTATACCGCGCTGCTAAGGAAACTCAGAGAATATTTTGATCAGAAAGAAGGATCCTCAAAAAAAAAAAAAAATTACCCTTGCTGCTACGTCCCCAGAGTTGAGTGTGCTGGTGAGAGCCGTGCTATCTGGGCTTTTTATGTAATGAAAAGATCTTCTAAAAATAACACCCAGAGGCGCAGTTCGTGGGGCCGAGTGGCTGAGCCGGCTGGAGCGGCGGCAGGCATCCAGGAGCCGTGACCCCCGCACCACGACAGTGGTTATGATTAAATGGTGCTTCTCACGTTCCGGGGGCAGAACCACCGCAAGCGAGAGCCTGGGAGAGGCTTAAATGATGTCACATGGAGGTTAGGTTGCTTCCGAGAGGTCCTGCGGTCAGCCGGCTTTCCGCACACTCCCGGACCCCAGGAGACTGTCAGTGCCGGGGGAAACCAGGAAGAGCTGCCGTGCTAGGGTCCAGCGGTCCAGCAGGGCCTTGTGCGTGTTTCGCATCCATTGGGGTGGTAGCATACTCACCACTAGGAGGTCATCTCTGAGATGCAACCAGGAGGCATTGCGGGTGCCGCTGCTGTATTGCAGGGATGCTTTCAGTGGGACCAGATGGGAAGACGGGGAGGAAGGGATTGGAAACCACCCAGATACTCGTGGCAGGAGGATGATGCACCGTGGCCGGCCCTGGTTACGCAGCTATTCGAGAGATTCCGTGAGTTCCGTGAGTTCCGTGGCAGCCGACCCGGATGCGGGGCCACGCGGTTGCCGAACAGGACAAGATGTCGGGCAGTGGGTAGAGCAGGGGCCGGCTGGGGTGCGGTTGGCCGACCTCGACGGCCGTAAGCCCTGCCCTCTGCCTGGGTCCGTGCTGCCCGCGAACTAGGAACGGCTATTACATTTTCCAATCGTTTGGAAGTAGTTGTATAGGGTTGGAGAAAATATAAAGACACATATTTTGTGCCGTGTGAAGTTCATGTGAAATTCAAAGGTCACCCACCGCCTATAGTCAGGTCTCCTTGGAGCACAGGTCCACTCGCTCACGTGCCCGCCTGTGGCAGTGGCGTCCCCTCCAGGTGCCAGAGCTGAGTCCCTGCAGCCGAGACCACGTGGGACACGGAGCAGAGAACACCTTCCTGAGACAGCGGTCGGCCCTTGATCGAGGGCACGACGGCATTCTGGGCAACACCTGCTCTCGGCACGGCCTCAGAGTAAATTCCTTGCGTTTGTTTACTCATTCGTTCAGTTTATGATCTGTCCATCAGAGTCTTAGTGCCTACCCGTGGGGCACCGGCACGAAACGGGCAGACGCGGCCCGCCTCCTGGAGCCCGGAGCCTCTGTCCAGATCTTTCTTTCTCCGGTGGAAACAGTTCCTCCAACCGTACCTCGCGCAGTGACCCGAGGTCAACCCCCTTGTACCCCGACTCCCTCCCGCACCGCACACCCCGCCGGCCACGGCGCCTCCTCAGAAGAGGCCCTTACCCTGGCCTCCTGGTATCTCTCAGGGAGGCCAAGGTCTAGCGAGAATCACCGTGAATCGGGTCACTCTCTTGGTCTGGGTTCAAGGTGCTCAACACTCACCCTTTGCGTTTTCAGCTCCTGCTCCCCAGCGCTCCCAGGAGGCAGGCGTGGCCGGCCTTGGCCCCTGTCGCATGGATGGGGGCGGTCGTCAGCTACGAAGAAGGATGCGGCCGCATCGCCACATGACCCCTCCCGCATAAAACCAAAGCCGCTGCCAGGCGAAGGCTCCGGCGCCTCGGTCTCCATGCACGACCCGGAGAGAGGAGAGCCGCTGCAGTCCCTGGGGGTAGCTGGCTCTGCAGGGGGCGAGCTGTGGACCGGAGTCTCGGCCACCCACGTTGCCTCTGGGCCAGTCACGCTCACGCCCGGCACCTCCTAGGAGACCGCTGTATTTACTCGTAGAAAGGCAGCACCGAGCCGGTCGCTGTGGCCTGCGCACGCCGGGACACCTCCTCTCAGCTCTGCTGGGTGGCCTGGAGCCCTGTGGTCGGCGTAGCTGACACACTGGGCTGCGGGGAGAGGAGCGGCCAGGGGCTGCGGGCAGAGGAAGGAGCTTCCGGTGTCCCGGGATGGAGGCCAACAATGCGACCTCTCCCCCTTGTCTCGACTCCACTGCGTTCAAGATCGCGGTCAGCGCAGCCCTCGCTGTCCTCATTGTCATCACTGTTGCCGGCAACGTGGTCGTCTGCCTGGCCGTGGGCCTGAACCGCCGGCTCCGCAGCCTGACCAACTGCTTCATCGTGTCCTTGGCCATCACCGACCTGCTCCTCGGCCTCCTGGTGCTGCCCTTCTCGGCCGTTTACCAGCTGTCCTGCAGGTGGGACTTCGGCAAGGCCCTCTGCAATATCTACACCAGCCTGGACGTGATGCTGTGCACGGCCTCCATCCTCAACCTCTTCATGATCAGCCTTGACCGGTACTACGCCATCACGGACCCCCTGCGCTACCCCGTGCTGGTCACCCCGGCCCGGGTCGGCGTCTCCCTGGTGTTGATCTGGGCCGTCTCCATCACCTTGTCCTTCCTGCCCATCCACCTGGAGTGGAACAGCAGGAACAAGACCAGCGGGGTCAACTCCACCATCGTGTCCTGCAAAGTCCAGGTCAACTTGGTGTACGGCCTGGTGGACGGGCTGGTCACCTTCTACGTGCCCCTGGGGGTCATGTGCATCACCTACTGCCGCATCTTCAAGATCGCGCGGGATCAGGCCAAGCGGATCCACCACATCGGCTCCTGGAAGGCGGCCACCGTCAGGGAGCACAAAGCCACGGTGACACTGGCCGCCGTGATGGGGGCCTTCATCGTCTGCTGGTTCCCCTACTTCACGGTGTTCGTCTACCGCGGCCTGACCGGGGACGATGCCATCAACAAGGTGTTCGAAGCCGTGGTTCTGTGGCTGGGCTACGCCAACTCGGCCCTGAACCCCATCCTGTACGCCGCTCTGAACAGGGACTTCTGCACGGCGTACCAGCAGCTCCTGCGCTGCCGGTCGGCCGGCCGCTACGCCCACGACCCTTCTCTGACGGCCGACGGCTCCCGGCTCTCCAGGACGCAGAGCCGGGAACCCAGGCAGCAGGAGGAGAAGCCGCTGAAGCTCCAGGAGTGGAGTGGGAGAGAGGCCGCGGCACCTCGTGGAGCCACAGACAGGTAACTTCCCCGGCGACTCGTGCCCAGGCAGGGGCACAGGGAGGGGCCCCGCTGATGGGGACCGTTTAGGCGGGCCCTGCTCACGAGGTGCTGGCGCGCTCCGTGAGCACTTGCGAACCTCGTGCTGTGCCACACAGTACCCGCAGCCCCTCAGGGTGAAACGCTTCACCTCTCTTTCCAAAGGACCACAGCCCGCCCAGAACCGCAGAGCTGGGAGCGGGGCCGAGGGCCCCGAATCCAGAACTCATGGGCCCTTCGTTCTAGCTGCACTGTCCTGACCACCAGAAGTCCTAAGTTTGAGGCCCGACTCTGCCCCTGAGCCGGCAGCCCTTGCCGTAGGCGCTCACCTAACCCCCGCGGGACAGCCCTCAGGGGCCGTGCACGAGTGCCCGTCCCTGGGGGCGGAACGAGAAAGGCAGCCGGTCCTCCCAGCACCTGCTATGCACCAGCGCTTACACTGGGGGCGCGCAAGTCAGAGGGGAAAGGGGACTGGCCCAGTCGGGCAGGGGGGCCTGGGACAGTGTGCCATGCATGGGCCGCAGGGGAGGACGGAGGGTTGGAAGCCAGAAGGGGTGACCCAGGCGGCTCCGTGCTGTGGAAAGAGGGCTCAGGTTGCCCCCTAAGATGTGGACGAGGAGGAGGGGACGGGGCATCGGTGAAGCGGCCTGGGGCAGTGGTCCTGGAGGGAGGAGAAGAGAGCAGAGCGGACTCCCGGCCGTGGAGAAACAGGCTCGGGGTCGCTGGACGCTAGGGGCGCGGGGGACTTCAGGGAGGGGATGCCCCAGGCTCATCTGCAGGGGGCGTGCCGGCTGAAGAGTCAACAGGACCGGAAGGAGACTCGTGTCCACCAAAGTCTCCTTCCGGCACAGCCGGCGCAGGGTGTTCAATGGGAACCACACCACGGACACAGAGACGCCCACTCCCCGCGTCCGTGGGGAGGAAGGGCTGGGGAGCCGGGAGAGAGCGAGGGACAGTACGCTGGCTGGTAGGACACCTGGCCCACGGACGTGCTCAGCGAGCGTCCCTTTCCTCCTCTTCCCCAGACCATGCCTGTACGCCCCAGAATGCTGGTCTGTGTGACTGAGCCATTCACTCACTCACTCACTCACTCACTCACTCACATTCATCAGGTTCCCACCAAAGGCCAAGAACCGGGCCGGGCACCAGGCATGTAGCAATGACATTCCGAGCATGTCTCAGCTCCGCGCCCGCTCCCTCTGGCTCCAGCAAGTCCCGCCTCTCTCGGGCCTCAGTTTCCTCACCTCACAGAGCACGTGGTCTGCCCTCACGCAGCCTGCCCCGCTCACCTCCCGGAGTCGCCCGAGTGTGTGTGCGTTAAGGGACGCCAGCAGGCTCTGCGACCCCCACCTGGGCACGTGTTCGGTCTCAAGAAAAGCTGGGCCGGACACCGCAGACCCACACCCTGGGGTTCCGGTCTCTGAGGGTCACTGTGGGGGCAACCGCCCAACCAGACTCCTGGGCCTCGTGCCCTCTCTGGTCACTGCAGCAGCCGGGTGTGGGGGGTCCCGCCGCCCACCGCTACCCCTCTGCGTCCAGCCCCCTCCCAGCCTCTGGACCGACCCCTGCAGACCCACCCTCACAGCGGCCTGCGGGGGTCTCTCCACAACAACGCCCGCCCGGCCCTGGTGGGCACGACGCCCACCCACGTTCGGCCTCCCTCCCTCGTTCAGGAAGCAGCCTCCAGGGCGGAGCTAATGCGGTTCTTGCAACAGACAGAGAGCAAACCGGGCGAGGCGGACTCTTGGGAAGGCGCCAGCGCGACTCGGTCCCACACACCACTTCCTCCCGCTCTGACCTGTGTGACCTCGGGGTGAACGGGCTGCTTCCCCCTAATCCTTGGGGAAACACGCAGTAATCCTCAACAAGGGCTACCGCTCCCCGGGCACCGCTAGCTGCCAGGTTTACAGTTGTGCCATTGCTTCTATGCACGGATCACTCTGTGAGGGCACCCCATCCCCGCCCGTGCCAGAGGCTAAGGGGGCAGAGGGAGGTAAGGCAAGACCCCCGCCCCACGCCGCCTGTAGCTGCTCGGGGGGCAGCTGAGGAGCCTTGGCTCGGTGCAGCACGTGCCAAGGACTGAGCACCAGGTGAGGTGCTCAGGTGGGCACCGGGCACCAGGTGAGGCGGCACAGGCCCCGGGCAGCCCGCCCCGGGTAGCAGGCCTCTGGGCTGAGCCTCGAGCGAACACAGGGAAGCCCCGTCCATCCAGGGCGGGGGCGGACCCTTCAGACGCATGGCGCCCTTTCATCCTCCGAGCGACCCAGTGAAGTAGGTGTTTATTTAGTCTTCACCCTACAGGTGGGGAAACTGAGGCTCGGAGAAGTCCATTCAATGGCCCGGGTGACACAAGCTAGTGAGGCAGCCAATGCCGAGGCCTGGGCAACAACAGAGGTAGCACCCCCATTCCCGAGTGTCCTGTGGGTGCCCGGCACGCTGCAGGGTGTGAGCACCCACCTGCTCTTCTGGTCCTCACGGCCACCATGGGTGGGGGCCTGGGAAGACGCCCCCCAGGGAGGCCAGCCAAGAGGCGGGGCCTGCCTGCGCCCCACACAGCAGCTGTGGAGCACCCCGGGGAAGCAGTGCACGGAGGGGTTTGGCAGAGGGGGACGGGGACCACTGGAGGGCCGCCCACCAGGTGAGGGACGTGGGGGCGGCAGTGCAGCAGGCCAAGGACAGAGAGAGGGGGCTTTCCCCCCCGAGGCTCCAGGGCAGTTGCCACCTTGAATGGCCCTCCATTAAGGGGGGCTCCCAGCTTCCCTGATGTCCGTAGTACGTCCTTCCTGCTGTCCTTCTGGGGACAAACACGAGTGCTGGCCTAAGAACCTTGTCGCTTCTGAGGGGGCTGGGGCATCTGCTTGAGCTGAGAATCCCAAGGGACTGATCCGGGCCTGCCCTCGGGGTGGTAGTGGCCACCCGGCAGCCCCCTCCCCGCAGGATGTCCTGTCTGTCCCTTCCTGACCCCCAGCTGGCCTCCTTCACCCCACTCCCCACCACCTCGGCCCTGGACAGCCTCCCTTGCCTCCTCCCTGGTCCCCAGCCCCTGGCCTCCCCCTTGCTCAGTAACCCAAGCTTCCACAGGACAGAGGCTGTGCTCGTTTCCTGGGGCCGTTGTAACTGATGGCTGTGAACCTGGGGGCTGAAAACACACAAGTTCCTTCTCCCACAGCTCTGGAGGCCTCGAGTCTCAGGCTCCAGAGCAGAGTCCGCTCCCTTGCCTTTTCCAGCTTCTGCGCGCTGCCTGCGCTTCTTGGCTCGCGGCCCCTTCCTCACGTCCCCCCGACCTGCTGCCTCCATCCTCACATCCCCTCCTCCTCCTCCTCCATGGCCAAGTCTCCCTCCCTCCGCCTCCCTCTCACAGTAGGGCACCTGGGATGACATGTGGGGCTCTTGGGAGAATCCAGGATAACACCCCCATCCTAAAGCCCTTCACGGAATCACACCTGCCAAGTTCCTGTTGCTGTACTAGGGTAGCGCCCTCGGGTTTCGGCCATGAGCACGTGGGCCTCTCCGGGGGCGTGTTCAGCTACCACAAGCCCCAGCCCCTTAGCCTGTCCTCAGAGGCCCTGCCCACTTCGGCAGGCACTGCCACCCCCCGCAGACCCCAGGAGCCCTCCGCCTCCTCCGCCCCTGCCAAAGCGAACCACTCAGAGCCCGGTGATTCGCAGGCACTCACCAGGGATTTGCTGGGTGCCCGCACTGTTTGGGGCACAGAGGGGAGCAACACGGGGGCCCCCGTCTCTGAAGGATGTCGTTCGAGAGCAGGGGTTCTCCGAGCGCAGCCCCCAGCCAGCAGCGGGCTTCCAGGGCCGAAGCGGCCTGCATCGGGCCGCACAGCCTCACCCGGGGCAGAGCTAGGATTCGAGCCCAGGCGGCCCGACCCTGAAGCCTGGGCTCCTTCCATGACGAAAGGCTGCCTAGACTTGAACTTGGCCCAGACGCATGGCTACCGGATGGGGGAATGAAGGCATGGGGGGGGTGCAGGCGACCTAGCTGAGGCCCACAGCCAGCTCAGGAGGGGCTGGGTGTAGACCCTTATCTCCAGACCCCTGCCCCGGGCTCTTGAGTCCTTCTCCCAGTACTCACGGGCCCTGGGTCGTCCCCCGGGCAGGGAGATACCACTCACAGATCCCTGGCCTGGCGGCAGTCTCCCAGGGGGGTGACACCTCCTCATCCCCACAGAGCCCTGTGCCCGCAGCCACGATATGCCTGGCGCCAGGAATCAGAGCATAGGAAAGACTTCGGGAAAAGAGGTGCAAAGGGTGGGAAGGTGCCCCGCCCGCCCCTCTGCCAGCCCTCCCCCGTCTGCTGTCCCTGCCTCCGCAGCCAGAGAGAACACTTCGAGCACGGAGGGGAGTGTGCCCTGCCCCCTCTCCGTGCACGCGGAATAAAACACCAAGGTCTCGTCCTGACCACCGAGGCCCCGCACCCCACGTGCCCTGGGCCTTCTTACCCCCTCGCTGCACCCCGCATGTTCAGTGTCTGCTCCCCCAGACAGTGAGCTCCCTGAGGGGTAGGCCCGTGTATCTGACGTCCACTGCTGGGTCCCCAACACCGAGCACTGCGCCCGGCATGGGACAAGCCCAGCCACATTAGTTTGATGAACGAATGCATGACTACAGCACGTTGTTCTAGGTCCTTGAGAGCCCCGACGAGTACCTAACAATGCACCTGCGTTAGAGATCAGGAAACTGAGTCTCACCGAGGGGAGTTCCAGGAACCCAATGGGAGCTCAGAGGTTCCCGGTTCCCCTTTTTTAAACTGGATGTCACAATGGTCCTCCCTCCAATTTACTGGCATCAGGGGGCAGGCCCTGCAGCAGAACCCACTGCTGCTGTGACTGCGAGGGTCAGCGTGTTGGAGGAGAAAGAGGCCCCGCCCCTCGCTCTGACGCGGAGGAGCCCAGGAGCCCAGGAGGGTGAGGAGACGGTGCCCAAAGCACAGGAAGTGCTGCGAGCTGGGGCGGGCCCAGACACCGCCCA